AAAATTACCAAAATAATGCTCCCTTTACACCAAAATAGGAATTAAGAATACTCGATACATCTTTTTGGTACGATTTAAATTACTGCAGTCTCTCAAAATAAAGGGAATATGAACATCATACAATAATCTTTGATAATGATAGGAATAACTTTGTCCGTGATGAATTTCATTCGATTTTTTCCCATCCGTTTTGCACACTAGTTCTTGAACATGTGTATTAATACTAGTCTTAATGCATTTTCTGTGAAAAATTTGCCCAATTTTCAATTTTTAAGCATCAAGAAGGTAGTTTGAATTTTCTCTCCACCATTAAGATCTATGTGATTTCGAAACTTCAAACACGTATACCTATCTCAAAATAGCAAAAACTTCACTTATGCGCCTTGTCCTCCAAGCCCCTCCATATTGTCTCTTAAACGCCCGTGATCTCTCGGACTCGTAAATTTCCGATACATTTTCTCCTCGAGATACAGACCTATCTTCGCCAGAAATCCATCTATGTCGCCTTGGATATTCCGACCCACATAATCATTGATAACGGAACATTTTCTCAGTTACGGGAGATTCCGGTTTGGAAAAGCGTCACTGTAACGTGTTACGTTTGAGATAAATGAGACCAGTAAATGCAGCGGTGACAATGAAGAATCAGTAAATCCCTCATTTGATGAAAAAAACACGAAGTCACCAACTTCCGACAATTACAGAAATTGCAGCTTCTTTTCTCCTCGTCCTTCCACTTTTTCATAATAATCAGTCAGGAAGACAGGGAGGAGAGGAAGAGATTTTATGCAATCGACGCGTCGCAGAAAAACCGAGCCACAATGCGTGCATGTTGCACACGTTTCCCGACTTCCGCCAGCAATTGAAAATCGTCCTTGTCACGCTTTCAGTGATCGCGGTAATTGGACGTATTTCTGCCAAACGGAACTATGTGCATCAAGACATGAGCCCTGGGACCCATAAGAATATATGCAAAACAGGGCTCACGTCATAATGCACATAGTTCCGTTTGGCAGGTTGCGTCCGATTCGCGGGCGGCTTCCACGATTCTTCGCAGTTACAGCCTTGCAATTTGCAATTTTCATGCAAGCAAATTGATTGCTGCAAGGTTGACCCGGGAGGCATTTCGGTTATGCTGAAGTCAGTGATTTAGACGTATAGGACACTGGAAAAAAAACATATTGGATCGAGAGTCCAGACTCTTGAAAACATTGACCAGAAAAAATACTCTTGATTCAATCAGATTTAAGCTTAAATCAAAAGGAAATCCGCTCAAATTAAGAGGTTTGAGAGGATTTTGGTTCTTGATTTAACCAAAAATCCGATTGAATCAAGAGTGTTTTTTCTTGTCGATGTTTTTAAGAGTCTGGACTATAGATCCAATGTGGTTTTTTTCCCAGGGGACAATCGATTTTAGGTGAGGCACAGTGGCGTGGCGTGAATTGCGATATATCGATTGTTATGCCATTTAAACCTATGGTAAAGAATCGATTATTGAGGTGTCTGCTGCGAACACCCCGTTTATCGATCCTTTTCCATAGGTTTAAATGGCATGACAATCGATATATAGCAAAACACGCCACGCCACTGGTGAGGCAGCTTGCCTTCAGTTCAGGAGAGGCTATTAGAATTAAAGGACTGAAAAGGTCGTCATCTTCCGGCCGAAGTGTCACCAGCGCAATGCGACATTTCAAAATTTCCGCCGCCATTTCATTTTTGTATAGAGAAATTGTGTAACGAAGCTGTAAGAAAATGCCACTGTATTTCCTTTGTACTGCCGATAAGTTTCAGTGAGATTTTCAAACACATTCAACCAACAATGTCGTTGTAAAAAAATAAAATGGCAGCAGAAATTTTGAAATATTGCATGGTGCTTGTGATACTTTGACCGAAAGGTGACGATATAATATTATCAACCATCGGTGGTCCGTTTTTCATGCGTCTCCAGTTGTAGTGCACTTTTAAGGTGCGTAAAATTTTACCTCGAAAGGGATGAAATGAATTGAAAAATTGTTGTCATGGCGATGCATAGGCAAAAACAATTAGGGGGGAAAAATGCATGGGAACATTATCAGCTGACGCTTGGAACGCAGTTAGAGGCTCGTCCAATCATGTTTCCTAGGTCCTTCCTACTACAAGGATAGCGGCAAGTGATTGGGCAAAAAAAATTACCAAACCACCTGCGAGTGACCGAATAAATAATTGATAGACTTCCATGGCTTTCCCCAGCCTGAGCAGTCTGTTTGAACGAAGCGAAAAGCCAATCTGCTGTGCTTAGAAAAGACTCCGTATGAACATTCGAACGCTGCCAGATTTACGTGTAAAACATCCACTGTCGTACTGTTGGTAGGGCTTTTGACCTACTTTTGTTACCATCACAAAGGACTTCCTTCAAAGTTACAAAAGGTTTGGTTTTGGTAACAAGATTCCTTTAGTAACAGAATACCTTCTATTAACCCAACAAAACCCTCTTTGACGTTAGTAAAACATTTTTGTGAGACCTTTTTTAACGGTAACAAAAAAATTTCAGGAGCTCTAAAAGAATAATTTTTTGTATGCATTCTAACATTTACTTCGAAGTAAATTTATGAATAGTATTCAATAGTTAAATTTGCAGAATTTTTAGGTTCAAAGAAAGGCGCTATGAAAAGTGCAAAGAAAACTTCTAGGTGGCGGTAGCCACCCCGGCCCAATCCTAAAAAACTCCCCCTAAAAGTTGACGACCGAAAAATAAAATTGAAAATACGCATTATACATAAGTTTTTAAAGGATATTAGCCTTTTAATAGCAGACATTTGGTAACTTCTGAGTGCACGGAAGCCGTCCTCCTTAGCACAGGAATGACAAAAAAAAGAAGGTGGTATAGAATGTCGGGCATCTTGGATTTTGTCGATGCCGTAAGTAGGTGCAGAACAGCAGATATCTTTGTCATCAAATTTTCGTAAATAGCGTGGTTAATGGATGATGATCATACTTCAAAAGGTTTTTTTAATATTTTTCGTATTGAATAAAAATCCAAAACAACGGACTTCCGGCTCATTTCTCATACTTTTAAATTCGGGTTTTGTAGGAAATAAGGCATAGATATCCACAACACTGAAAAAAATAATACATTGTTTTAGCATCTAGGAAGTAAATAATGTGTCTGATGATCCCAAGATACTACCTTTACTGCCCCCGCAGTTAACTTTACATCCTGCGAATGCAAATTCAATAACACATGGGCAATCAAGGCAGCGTCTTGGGATCACCAGACACAAATTTTTGACATCCTAGGTGCTGAAACAGCATACCATTTTTTTCGATGAATTTTAGGGCGTAGGATTTTATAATATGGTAAAATTGACGCCATATTGTGCCCACCTACGTCACAGTGTAAACCATTTTTACTTTCTCGCTCCCCTAGGGTAGAGAGGAAGTATTGTCATCCTCCAAGAAAAGAAAAAAAAGTTGAAATTTCATCATTTCTAGACGTTTTAAGGTCCCAGGAGTCAAAAAAACCATGCTTGAAAAAATGTGTGTCCGTCCGTCAGATGTCCCCCAAATCTGTGTACAGCGATATCTCAGGATGTATCTGTTCGATTTCATTCAAAATTGGCACAGAACACCATTTCTATGGTCTCCTTATGCACGTCAAACGATTTTGGGGTAAACTAAAATTTGGAGGGGGGGGGGCTAGGGTCAAATTGGGTTAAAGGTCCATTTTCAGCAAAATCACACGAAAAGCTCATTTTGAGGGACTGTAAATTTTGAAAAATGCCTTTATTTTCGGTGAATTTTAGGGCTTAGGATTTTATTATTTTGTAAAATTGACGCAATATTGTGCCCACCTACGTCACAGTGTAAACAAATCATAAACTGCCACCACTTTCTTTTTTTCCTCCGCGGTAGCATGGCAGCAGGGCTCGGTGTACTCGCCACTCGGGCCGGCATAATTATGCTGTAGGGAAACCTCACGTCAAGCTCACCGTCACCGTAGGAGTCGGGGGGTTGCGCTGCGTCGGCACAAAACTGGAGGGGAGGACCCCATTAATTATTCATTCCAATTCATATCGGGGCGCGTCCAACCTAACCAGCTTTACATTTATTCCCCCGGAATTGGTTTTAAATAATGCAAATAACTAGGTGGGGGATCACACTTTAACCCCCTCCCTCCCGGCCTCGCGCGTTCCCCTGTTCTTGAGTTCAACGTGCACCGGTCCCTCTTTTTCAATACCTCAACTGGACGTGTTTATGCTGAAAGGAACTATGTTACACGCACACCCTATGCACATAGTCCTTTTTAGCAAAAATACGTCCGACTATCCGTTTGTTTATTTATATGGCTTATTTATTGTTCCTTCCTTATCACTCTTATCAATGCAGCCCGCTTCGTTCTGACAGGGTTTCGCATGTCATATCGTCCCATGCGTAGATTCTTAACATGGGCCATGGGCCCATGGGCGTAGCCTGGAGGGTCCCGGTGGGACCTCCATAGAAAGGTTACGATCGTATATATGCAGCCACTTAATGTCAATAGACCCCCATAATGGGCAACACAAATTGTCCTATGACTTGTAGAGTCCATACGTTCCTTAATGGAAGGAGTGACGACCTTTCTAGGCTTTGGGCTTGTTACTTTCTAGAAAATTTGCAATTTTTCATAATTGGAATAATGAGAATTTGTTGGTGCGAAGGATTTTTTTTCTGATTTTTACATGAAAATTAATTGAGCCACAAATAGTTGCTATACATTTCATTTTCCTTGTCATGAGAAATTCACATGATCATTGCTACGCAGCTCTGATGGCCAATTTGTAGAAGAAACTGAAATTTTTTTGTGTAAGTAGACGCATCGCTCTTCAAAAGTATACAAGTCAGTCACTTTTTATACTTTTTGAACTCATTCATTATTCAAAACAACTTATTCATTTACGGATTTGCACGTGGGTGCTATTCTGTATTTCATTTATTTATATTGACTTTGTATTCATGAATTTTGTGTTTTTCGAATGTTTCAGTATCCAGGCTAATGGGGTCACCGGCAGCAGGTGGAATGAATATGGGCAATATGTCTGCTCTCTCCTCCTGTTCTGATACCAAACCTGTTCAGTTCCCTTTAGCTCAGCGTAGGAAAAGACGTGTTCTCTTTACTCAAGCTCAGGTAATAATAATCAAAATTATCCTTCCTTCATTGGTTTCATCCTCGATCAAAATCAATCATTTATTGCAAAGACAAAATGATTTTGAAATCCGCACACGATTGCAAGGTGTATTGCCACGCACAATGTGGCTGTAACTCTACCACAGCTACACGGTCGGATCCAGACACCTCGAACGAGGGAGGCATTAGGGAGGTCCGGTCGCGGACCTACCTCAAAAAATATTTGAATTTTAGAAGCATCTATTACGCAGTTAGAGTAAATTTCGTCATGAACTACCAAATGTAAGCGTCTTTCTTTCTTCTTTCCTCCGTTCCTTCTCTTTTTCATCCTCCTTTTTTTCGGGTTAAAGGGGGGGGCGCAAGCCCCCTACACCCCCCCCCCTTGAATCCGCCTTTGCACAACTAAAATATTATTGGGATTGTTTTGGATGTTACCGCGTCCCTAACGTTTATAAAAGAAAAAAACTGTACTGCCTGCGGACTGGTTATTGACATTGGGAGACAAAGCTATAGATAAAGAGGTCAAAGGGGAGAGAAAGCGATCCTATTAGTTGAAACAGGTTGTTGTCATAGACTAAGGAGGAATGGACTAATTATGGGGTCTCTCGTGGGTTGTCGTTAGTTTAGTCTATTATTTACCTCCTCCGTCTGTTGCAACCATCCGCTTTTTTCATGCACATAGGATCGCTCCTCTTTCTCTTTGTCTTCTTTTTCTATGGATTTGTCTATCAGTTTCAAGAATCAGCCTGCAGCTCTGCCTTGCTACGCGGAAAAACGTCGTATGAATATTTGATCCTTGCTCAGTTTCCTCCGAGAAAATATTATTTATTTTCGAGGAAAATTTTTGAATATTTTACCCCGAAATTTTCGCTTAATTTATATCAAATGACAACTCAATTTCTCTGGAAAACTGGAAGAAAAAAGATTCACAAGTTTCCCGCATTATTCAGATGGAAAAACATTTCATGAATTTTTTAAGGCTAATAGGGTGTTTTTCCATAGCACGGTAGTGCTGTTCGTGTGCGTGGTCCTGCTTTCCTTGCTCTCTGCGCCAAAAATTAACACAAACATAGAACTCCATAAACAATTCCGTGAAAATCCACACCAATTCCATCTTTGAATTAAGTTACGAATCTTTCACATCGGACGGCTGGATGTGACCCCTATCTGCGATCCTCAGTGCTCAAAAGTTCTTTCCCCGCTCTTGAAAATCCTAGCTGCACTGCAGGGAGTCGGTCAATACGCCACTCCGCCGGCAAAAGGGCTTAACTTTATTTCCACATGAGCCTTGGAGAGCAGGGGGTTATACGCTCAACTCACGTTGCAGATACGCTCTTTTGTAACGAATACATAGAGCTTCCAGAGAGCGGAGAATAACGCCTTTCTTTCGCCCCCCGAACAGGATTAGTTTCGACGAGGCGGCCCGATAAAACGCAATGAAAACAGGGCTACGGAGCAGAATGGCGGAAAGAGTGGGAAGGGGGGTGGAGGGCGGGAAAGGGAGGGAGCGGGGGGAGAGAGAGGAGCGAATAAGAAGACTTTAAGGCCCAGGGGAGCCGCGAATCCAATAAATGAAACCAATGCTCTGTCGAAGAGCAAATAGCGGGGCTGCGCCCCATGTGGAGAGCGCGGAAGCATACATTGCTTAAAGTAGCTGTTGTCGGATTTGTTGTTTATTATCAACTTTACTCGCGTTTCAAGTCTCATTTTTCTCTAAAAGGTGCCCTAGAGCCCCTTTATACTGAGAGTCAAGACAATGTGAATCCATTTCTGATTGGTTCCCGTATTTTAGGCCTTCACAGTGTCACAAACGGGAATAAAGATTACATTTTCAACGACTGCAAAGATTATATTCTAGAATGGACCAGGGAATTATGGGTTCGGCAAGGAACAAACGGAATGAGAGAAGGAACGGAGAGAGGAATTTGAGAATGGGCCGATCAAAGATTACGAAAAACATTCAATTTCTGTAATCTTTATTCCCGTTTGTGACTCCATGGGGGGGTGTTGTCTTGACTCTCAGTATAAAGGGACTCTAAGGTGCCCCAAAGGTATCACAATGCAATTATTACACAATTTAAAAAGCGGGTAACAAGGCTAGTTTTCACAAATAAAACCAAATCGTTTCGGCTTAAAACTCACACTTCCTCAGTTGGATAAAATGCTAAAAAGAAAAACGGTAAAAGTCTAAAATAGTACTTGGCTGTACCTTTCAAAGCGAGAATGTTGTTATCAAAAGGTATCACATCAGATCTGAAAAAGTGTTTCTGTGATTCAAAATAAGTTTTTTCCCAGTTTAAACATTAGCTTTTCAAAAGTGCCCTCAGTCGGAGCGGCGCTTCGGAAAGTTTCGGAAAATCATAGATTATTTTTAGGGACAATTATGGACCTAAAATAATGAAAAGTGGCTACTTTTTATGATTTAAACGATAAATTTATGCATGACCTCACACATAATAAAAGAGTAAGTACCCTGGTAAAAATTGGCAGTAGAATGTGTGTTCCAAAATACTATAGACTTAAAGCCGGCTATAAGATTTCCAATAGCTTCTGTAGCCGGCTGTACAATTTCTTATAGCCTTTTATAGCCGATGGCGATTAAGCAACAGCCAGACAATAAAGTTTATGCTAAACGTTACTAATTACGGATACTAGGACTTAGTTAGTTTTTGGACTACCGCTCTCTTATTGTGCCGTAGTATCTTGATTTATTTTGCGAGGAAAGCTCCGTACTTTTGAAGGATGCCTGTCATTCTTAATATGTTGGAGCGCCTTCAATTTCTTATGATACTGTGCAATACCTCTGGTGTGAAATAGTTGCTTCAGACGCCGTGGCACGCTGCGGCGCGGCGGGCGGGCAGAGAGTGCGAGACGCGCATTGGTGCCTACAAACCTAACAGGGATACTTCACGCATTGCGCGATGCGTGAAGTATCCCTGTTAGGTTTGTAGGCGCCAGTGCGTCGCCGCTCCGCTTTGTGTTAGGCTCTAATATTTAATCTCGCGGAGTCAACGTTTTTCAACTCATGATTTTGAAATGTTTGCTCACTCTGTATGGACCATTCTCATTTTAGTTGATGAAAAAAATAAAAAAAAAATACGTTTTAAAATATAATGTGTGTTTTGTAAATACTAAGGTAGTTCCGTATCAAACTTAAGTAATGATTTCCAAAGCACACGAATTTCTACACAATTTCTTTTAGCCTTTTATAGCCAATGGCGATAAAGTGTAAAGCCCGGCGATAGGAACTATAGCCCGAGGGTATACTTTTTTATAGCTTCGTATAGTCCGGCTACATGATTTGCTCCGCTTTCTACAGTCAGCTATATGATTTTCAACAGCCTTTTTTAGTCGGCTGTAAGAACTCCTATGGTATTTTGAAACGCAGCTCCTATCGCCAATTTTTACCAGGGATAGAATGGGAATTTCAAGGGATTTTGGATCTTTCAGGATAAATTAATCCCCTCTCTTTAGACCTTTGGAATAGCTCTTTATGATATTGTGAAGTAGCAAAGATTCGAAATATTTTGGATTCAGGGCGTAAACCTAAGTTTAAACGAACTTAAACTTCGGGTCCCACGCCCGAAGTTTTTTTCTCCGTGTAAAAACAGCGTCTGTGCCGTTAGCTTCCCTATGCAGATACGTGCTTCTGTGGATGAGCCCAGAAAAACATAGTTCTTCATTGCGAAATGCAGTTCAAATTTTCATTCGAGGCAATGATGACCACGCCAGGTCAAACCATGCTACACACATCCAATTTCGGGTCTGACGGAGGGACTCGACTGAAGTTCACTCGCTACGAGGAGTCGGGACTCACCCACCGAAAGTCCGATGCACAACCTCGAATTTCAATTAGACGTCTAATGGCACCTCGGAAACTCATTTGGAATCCCTCCGAAAGGAACCTGATAACACACAAAGCTTTTAAACGCGGAAGCTCCTCGGCAAGGGACTCGGGGCTCCGCCGAAGGAATGTTGATTTAAGGAGCGAATTAGGGGCGCCGAGCATGCACCACCAGCAATGTTCCCGTAAATGAAGCTAGTACAGCCGAATTAAACAAATACTCCAAGCTCATTCTTACTGCGCGCGTGGTATCCCAGCTTCGGGGGTCCTAAGCGAGAAGCGCGCAACTCCTGTGCGAGGCGCATTGAGGATACGCGGTTTCTGCTCGGAAGGGTGCAAGGGTGCCGAAAAGCTTAAAATGGATTCGAGGTATGAATACGAAATATCCCCCACCCGCTTTATTCGCTTTCCACCCCCGCCCCACCCTCCTCGACCCTACTTCGAGGGGTCTAGATAACGCACCGCGCTACTTAAATTGCCGTTTGGTATTTGGTTCGGCGTCGAACCGTCTAGATAAGCAAACACCATCACTGAATTTTTCGAAATCCGGTTTTTTGCGGAATATGTTTTAAGCGTGCCGGTAGGGCTCGCTTTTTTTTTAAATGCAGACTCATATTATAGTAGTAAGCGCTAATGCTGGAATTGATATGCAACCAGTTTCATTAGTTCATTAGTAACATTAGAAAAATCGAAGTCTCAGTGAAAACTAGGGTTTCANGGGGGGGGGGGGTCTTAGACTTCAAAGGCTGATAAATTGTTTTTGGGCGTATAGAAACGTATTTTGCGGATTCTCGCAGTTGACCCCAATTTTAACTGAGATTTCGATTATCCTTGAGTACCCTTGCGGTCTATAATTTTATGATTCATACGATGTTTCCCTTGTTATAACTGCATTTTAAGTGGTCTTTAAACTAGTTTAGTACTAACATGGCAACAAATATTCACAAGTGGACTGATTTAAACCAAACGGAACTATATCCATTATGGCATGAGCCCTGTCACACATGTGCTCTTATGGATCTCAGGACTCATGTCAGAATGGATATAGTTCCATTTGACTTAAAGACGTCCAAGTATCTGATGTGTTGCTTCGGAATCACAAAAATGTCACGTTTAATGACTTCTTTGATTGGATGATTGCTGCGGAGTCGCGGCTGTTTTGAAATGTATATTGACACTGAGCTTGATATTATTTCATGATTTCTATTTGTTTAGGTTTACGAGCTGGAGCGAAGATTCAAACAACAAAAGTACCTGTCTGCACCCGAAAGGGAGCACTTAGCGAGTCTCATTCACCTGACACCCACTCAGGTTCGTGCGTCACCCACTCACTCTAATCACTGTTTGTAGTTTTCTTTGCTCGGGGGAAAAATGCAAGTTGCATGACAAGTTTTTGCCGATTTCGTTGACATTGATGAAAAGAAAATATGCCTTGTCAATCCGTGAATTTAAAGGCAGGAATAAGGTGGTCATAATGGTCGCATTAAGATTCACATTTTATATTTTCCTCAAATTTTGAAACGCCACTGGGAATAATTGGACGTATTTCTGCCAAACGGAACTACGTGCATCAAGACATGAGCCCTGGGACCCATAAGGATACAAGCGTAACAGGGCTCACGCCATACTGCACATATCTGTTTGGCAGAGATACGGTCAATTTTGACTGTGTCAATATGACACAGATTGATTATTAACGGCGGAAAACCTATACCGAAGGCCAAATGGCGAAACCGCACGTATCTTCATGACGGTGTTTCAGAATTTCCGCTCCAATTTTATTTTATCGAGAAAAAACAAGGCGACTTCATGGTTCGAAATTTTTATAAAATATTCTGCTACTACAGAGAAGAAAAATCGAGGCGCAGTTTTCAAGAAATCATGTTGCCGGCCAGGTTGGCCTAGCGGTCAGCGCGTCTAACTCTAGACTAATAGGTCCCGGGTTCGAATCCCGGTGGTGGCGACACATTTTCACGGAACTGACATGAGAATCTGCAGAAACAGATTCTACTCGGCCTTAATCCCTGAAAATTTGAAAGTCGGAGCATAGATGTCCCTATCGCCCTGTTGTCTACGGACATTAAATCTCTCTCTATAGTTGGCTGTAGACCTCTGATAAGAGGTGTAAGCCGTTTAAACTGCAAAAAAAAAAAAAAAAAAAAAAAAAAAAAAAAAAAAATCGTGTTGACTAGTTTTCTAAAAAAAGAAACGAAGTGTAACAGGAAGTCTGTAATAAAATGTAGCAAAAGGAGAAACGTGGTTTTGCACTTCAGCCATCGATACCTCAATTAAGGCACTAAGTATCAAGCCTTGCAATAACCAACTAGGTCAACTTTCGGCAAACCGCAAAACCTGTAGTTCTTGTATGAGTTTTCATTACTTATTTGTGGAAGTTGGCTTGTGATCGCTGCTGATAAGATTCGCGATATCGAATGTCTCAATAACATACCAACGCCAGTTTTCTTCAAATTTAGAGAACTTTGGAGATTTTAGGTTTATGATTCTTTTCTGGTCTACATTCTGAAAGCATCGAAACACGAACCTGCGACTAGCAGAACTGACCCTTTGATTTTGAAGCAGTGATCCCAGAATAAATTTTGTGAATACTCCATTTTTTAAGTGGTCGATCCCTTCACCGAGTAAGATGGGAATGCAAGACTCCGTTTTTATTCTAGGTTACACCCCTACTAACAGATTTACTTCATTCATTTTTAAAAAAGTCTCTGAACGAATGGAAAAAAACTACGAAAATTATTGGAACCACACGCTGTGGTTCTTAAAAACCCATCCGAGTGAGCGGCTAAGTACCCCGCCGCAAAGTGGTAAGAGTCAATTGAACAAGTCGGGCAAAACAAGGAAACTTTAAAAGCTTATCCAGTAAACCTCGGATTATCCGAACCCCGGTTTATCCGAACCGATTTTTGGGAGGACAATCTTTTTTTATTTTGACGCGTTTTTTGCACTTTCTCTTAGCCGTCAAAGAAAAAGTGTGTGATAAACATAAGAAAGTGAACGAAGGGAAACGGGGGAAAAGTGGTCATTACGTTGGCGCAGAAAGAGGAAGCTTTAAAACGAATTGATGCGGGAGAATCGCCGAATGAATAAATGAATAAATATTAATGGCCTCCGGACTATCCGAAATTCCCGTTATCCGAACCGGCTGACCGCCACATTAGTTCGGATAATCCGAGGTTTACTTTAACCATATCAGTATGAGATTTAGAAGTTTTTAAAAGGTCTCGTTGGTTTTCTCGTAAAAGCTCCTTCTTAAGTACCTTTCACTGGAAAAAAAACACATTGGATCTAGAGTCCAGACTCTTGAAAACATTAACAAGAAAAAATTCTCTTGATTCAGTCAGATTTTTGCTTGATCAAAAGGAAATCCGCTCAAATTAAGAGGCTTGGTTTTTTATTTAGGCTAAAATCCGATTGAATCAAGAGTATTTTTTCTTGTCGATGTTTTTAAGAGTCTGGACTCTAGATCAAATGTGTTTTTTTCCAGTTTTTGCAAATTTAATGTAAGGAAAAAACGTCAAAATTTGAAAATTTTCTGTTCAGCCTCTCTGTAAGTTTCCCCACTGTGCGACGGGCGCTAATCGGTAAAAGTTTCGATCGACGAAGGGTGAAAGAGAATGGTACGGATGAGGGAGCGCTCGGAATTCGGGGCGGGGGCTCGTCAAGTTGGGCACTAACAAGGGGCAACGATGGAGGTGTGAATACGCTCCAAAATCCGCGGCCCCGGANGGTGGTTGACGGGGGGAGGCGCTTTGGTTGCAGAATCCGGTGCCGGGCTGTTTCGAGAGCACTTGAACCGCGCTCATTGGTCGCTGGTGGCAGATGGTCGGTGAGGACAAAGACTGGTTCTTGCTCCGATGGATGGTGCTCACCCTCGGCTCGATGCAGCAAAACCTCATCGATTGATAGGGATAATCGATGGTGAAAGTCGCGAGATCCGTATCTCGATTGGAACCTTTCAAAATCTCTGTTGTAGTCACAGGGAAGTTATTTTAGAGACCCCACGCTGCTATCTTCCTTGAGCTGTGTTTCCACGGTCAAAATAAGGCATCGGTGCGACTGTTGGGTGTTGATCATCAATATTAAGAGAGGTTTCTAGTTTTTGATCAATGTAAATCGCGATCACCGCATAGAATAATGTAATTTTCTATATGTATACTCGTTCGAAGTTTATTTTGATCACAGAGTTTAGAGGCACCCATGAAAACGAGCCATCAAAACGACTGTTGTGTGTTGCAAATTAAAATCAAAAGGCTCCGTTATTTTTTGATCTGCATAAATCGCGAATAAGTATCGAATAAATGTTTTTGATATCCTGCTCGCGATTTATGTTCATCAAAAGTTGGAAGCGCTTCTTAAGTTTGATCGTCAACACTCAACAGTCCCTTCGACGTTCCGTTTTGATCGGCGCATTTTGACCGCGTACGAATAGCTGCTCTTGGAGGTTTAAGTTACTTAAGAAAGTCGACGCTCAGATTCACCTAATTATGATTTATTACAGAAGAGTCGAACCATTGGTTCGACAAAATTTCCAAAAACTCGTACAGTAAGTCGTCTAGGAATTTGACGCTCAACAAGTTGCTCATCGATCACCATTAGGCAAAATGTAGCGCTGTCCCCCGAACTTACTTTTGCCTTCCTCGAGTACATTGCTTTGCTCGCTAGTGCGAAGTTCCTAAAATCGTCGACTCCCGGATGAAGAAACGTAACTGTGCTCCAAGGTTGCCAGATTTATTAAATTATTTTATTTAAGACATATATTTATTTAGACAATTTATTCAATTTACAAAAATGTATCTGTGCAATTTTCTTCCAAAATATTCTGATTTTTGCATGGAATCGGAGGCAAAATCAGTGAAATTTTCTGTTGAAAATGCCCAAAATTTCCCTGGTCAGTATGCAATTTACAAGAGAAAATTTGGCATTATTGAAATACAATGACGTCCTTTCTCAAAAAAACGACGAAATTTCTCGTCTCCGAGCCTTTTCTCCGCGTTTGCAGAGGCGGATCCAGGAATTTGGCAACACTGAATTGCCTCCATTTAAAACTATGCTAAATAATCGATTCTTGTCGGAACACCTGGCCCCTCCAAGAATCGATACTTTCCCATAGGTTTAAATGGAGAAAAAACAATGTTGGCCAAATTGCTGGATCCGCCAATGACGTCGATCACCTTCCATTCGATGGATCGAAACCTTTGCTGTGTGGATTTTACTAGGTGCTCTCGCAAATTGAAGCATATATCGATGGTTGATCGTTAAGTGTCGCTCGGCGCCCCGGGGACACCTCGCTTGATCCTAACCTCCCCCTCCACTCTCCCTCGCGAGTTTATTCATGCGCGGATAAGCTCCTAGCTCGCGGTCCAGACTTGAGGGGCTTTTTACACTCTTTCAAGTGCTGTTGGTAACAAATCATACCCTGCGGCGCGGCTCTCTCTTGTTAAATTACACTTTAGACACTCCGTTATTTTTTCAACTTAAGGTGATTCTGTAGCTCTTTTGAGAATGATTTGATGGTCGCTATCCATCAGATGGTGATTTCCGAATTTTAGCATATAGAAATAAAGGAGGTGTACTCCTGTATCTTTAGGATTGTTTACCCCGCGACGTAGGTCGGTACAGGTACTCTAGCAAAATCCGGAATTCTAAGTATGAAAAATGGACGATAACGTCCGATTGTTTTGCTTAAATCAACTCATGATATCATTTATTCGTTAAAACCTCCTTCATTTTTACTCTCTGTGAGAAGAAAATGCTGTGAAAATTTCATGGAATAATGTTGATTTGTTCTCCTTCAAAAAAACAAAAAGGGAAACGGAGATTTTGAAACACCGCAAACGAGATACGTGGTTTGGGAGCTTCACCATCGATTTGTATCTCAATCGCAGTGATTCAGAGACTTGAACGATGTTTAATTTTATTTTTGTTGATGAAAATGATAAAGCCATAATGAACGAAAATGTCGCGTCAAAATTTTCTTTGATTTTTGATTTGATATCATTTAAGCGTTTTTGACTCTTCGCTCTGGTTTCCAATCATTAAAGAAAAAATGTTTATCTTTATGCAATGATTCAGAAACTTGCGTTATAGCGTTGCAATTGGAGATAAATGCGCTGTTTTCGCGTGCAGGCGTCGATATTTGAATTCATTCATGGCAGGCGCAACGAGATAACTATTCGACCACGGGTGTAGGCATCTTGCCGCCAGCTGGATTGAAGGCGCGTCCCTCTCCAAGATTACTCCACCGCGTTCCCTTCCCTGGCTCGTGCGACATAAAAGTCTCTGCGAAACATGGTTATTCTACGATTGTTTACGTGCAATTCTCATTCAGTGGTCGGTGGCCCCAGTCTTGTCCGTCCATGATTTACAATACTCTCACAGGACGTATACTTTCGAAGTTATTTCAAAGAGTTTCTCGGTCAAACCTCGTATAGTTTGTAAGTGTGAATATGATACTACTTTGAGCTCCTAGTATCCAACTCTGAAAATAGCGATCCTTTTAAAAAGATAATGTTTGATGCTGATACTATTGAAAGCAGCAGCGTAGGTCTTGTATCTCAAAAGAATAAACTTTGAAAGCGTATTTTAAAAGCTAATAGTAAAATCTAGATCTGGAACACGATTTTCGCTCACAAGACTCGTGCGAGGAAGACAATTTATAACACTTAAAGAGACGGCTGAATGCTCAAGATTGGTAAATTCAAGGTCGTTTCACTTAACCCTTCTTTTTCGGTATTCAATTTAAAAGTTTCAGAGGACACGTCTTTGTAGTTTTTAGAAGTCTTGCTTTCAGAGGTCTCTATTTGCCTTTGGCTCTGATACAAAGCAGCGTTTAAAAAAGAGATCAAATTCCCTAAGAAACAATAATTCTGCTTGTAAATTGCGAGCCTCTCTTCAAGGGGCGTGGCGCTCATGGAGCCAGGGTGGGTAAGCCCCCCCCCCCCCAATTTGAGATATTATCATCTGTCCATCTCTAGGAAATCTGCACACTAGAGAATAGCTTCGAAACCAGTACATTTCCTCATTTCACTACAGAATGCGATTTGTAAAAGGAAAATGTTTGAAATTTTTTCGGGAAATTAATGTAAAGTTGAATTTTCAATTTGCACGCGACTTTTCACTTGAGAGTGATTCTCAATTGCATTTAAGAGAGGTCAGTTTTCAAAAGTTTTCCTGGGTAGTTTCGCCCTCAAACCCCATTTAGTGCGAAAAAATCTAGAACTGATTCTTGGAAGAGTAAGCAGTATGGAGGCCAGGCAAATCTCACAAAATTGCTTTCCTAGCTTCGCCAATCGCCTAACCTTTAAACTTACAGCAACGACCCTCTTTGCGCGGGAAAAAATTCTCACCACGATCCGCTGAAGATTCACCGTAATTTTCATCTAAATTACTCGGAAAGTTGGTCTCTTTGAGGCGACGAAATGAGTTTCATGCGTGCTGGATTGATATCCGTTTTTAAGCCGATACACCCGCCCACGCGCTGAAGGATAGCGTAAGGCAACAACAAGGAGAGAACACAAAAAGCGGAAGCCACAGGGAGCGAAATTATGAAAATTGAGTTAAAGCTTTAAGCGAACAAACTTAATTTCTATTCCTTGGCAATTTGTACTAAGTGGTTTTTGTTTAGCTGACTGCGCACGGGGCCTCGCCAGCTAATATTGACAAGATCTCCCCCTCCGTGCCCTCCCCCTCATCGCTGTTGCCAATTTTAAGGCTTAAGTTCTTTTTACAGTGCTGCCGTACGGCCATGCAAAAGAAAAATTTCGCGCGAATATACGCACATTGCCGCATTTTTGTCATTCTAAAACAGGATAGGGGAATTAAACGAATTTTAAAATTAAACGAGTAGTTTAGAAATTTACCCGGCTACCATATTTTCTCAAGTAAAACATGAATCTTTATGAATCCTCATAAATTCTTCAGTTAAAAAAGATCATAAAAGAATATACAAACAAATAATAGAAGAATTTAGACACCAAAACTCAGAAATACTCAACAATAGAATTAGAAAAGCAGGAAATCAATTAAGACTGAGATTATAAAAGAATCTGTGTGGATCATTTTATTAGTATCTAAATTTTTCAAGATTCAAGAGGCAAGAGAAATCATGAAAAACCCCAAGGAAAAATATAAGACCGCGTGCTTCATGCCTTGGTGTACAAACATAAGATATGTCGAGAAACCTTCACTGTAGAGTGCCTTGATGCATGATTTTTCAATTTTCATTAGCAATCAGCAACGTGTAAGTTTCCGCTTGTGTTTTAATCCTAATATGAAAAGTAACTAACAGCTTCTGTCGAATTTATCTGTGAATTGTCATCGTTCATTTAAAAAAGAGCGATCCTATTGGTTAAAATAGGTAGATTCTATGGACTAAAGGGAGAAAATGATGAACTATAATTTTAGGATCTCGCGCGGGTTGCCGTTAGTTTGTCTACTGCTGACCTCCTTTGTCGATTGCAACTACCTGCTTCCACCAGTAGGATCCCTCCGTATCCTTCTAGTCTTCTTTGTCTACAGCTTCGTCCATCAATTGGACGTATTTCTGCCAAACGGAACAATGTGCATCGAGACATGAGCCCTGAGACCCATAAAAATATACGCATAACATGGCTCACGTCATGATGCACATAATTTCGTTTGACAGAAATACGTCCAATTTCAACGATCGGTTTGCTGAAACTCAAAAGTGAGTTTCGAACACTGGTAAAAAGTGAGGGAAAAGATCGAAACGGTTCAAAAAAATCTTGCCAGAAATGTGAGTGAAAGCCGAAGCTGGAGCGGCACGGGTCTAATAAGGAACTTAAAAGGCACAGATCGCGGGTTAATGTTGCTGCAGACTTTTAAGTGGCTCGCGGTTAACCCGAAGGCGATGGCGCGCGGAGGAAGCAGGAGCGCGGGCTCGAGAGGTTTCGATTGGTCGCGACAATGCCCGCTGAAACAAACGAGCTTCATTTGCGTTTTCCATCTTGAGCCCACTCGAGCTTTGCACTGCGCGGCTTTTGTTCGCGTGATTACGCCATTGTCGGCCGACCCCTCGTTTTTGCCCCTCGCCAGACAAAGGCGGGACCCCCGGCCCCGGGCCCCGGGGGGGGAGGGGGGAGGGGGGGCGAGAGCGGGTCCTTTCGAAAAAACTGACTCCCCGGCCTCGGGCTCGGGAAACGCGGCGCTTTCTTCGGGATCCGAGGTGTGGACCCGAGGACCGGATGGCGGCGAGGAAGGAAGGAAGGAAGGACGGAAGGAAGGAAGGGAAAAATAAAACAGAGGAAGCGTTTTTGAATCGACGGCGAGGACGTGCCCTCGCCCTTTTCAAGGACGCCGCGCCGCACGGTGGTACGAACTACAGTAGAAGAGGTTGGTCAAGAAATTTTTGGCTAAAATTTCAAATTTATATGTTGATTTTGCCACAAATCCAATTTTGAAGGGTGTTACCGGGAGGAATTTTCACGATAAAACCAACGAGATCATCCTTTTGTTTCATATTTTCGAAAATATAAGCTTTCAAAGTTTCTAGATTTAGTTCGACTTCTCCCATTGATTCAGTCCAGTGTGCGCCGACGCCGCGTCCCGGAAAAATTCTGAAGGGAGCCTTCAAAAATGGATCGCCGTACTGCCATGCTAAGTAAAAATACCGTGTGAGCATTCGGACGTTGCTAAATATAGTACAAAACGTGTAGTTTTAAGACCAATCATGAAAAAGTTTCCTCAGTTACATCATTTTTAGTTACATCATCACTTCCGAGAACAAACTTTGATGAAAAATGATCAAAAAAAAACAATTTTCAAACATCCCAGGTAATGTGTATTTTTTCCGAGGATTACTTTCAATTTTTAATCACGTAGCAACGACGTAGGTTGAACTAGAAAAGTTGAATGAATGCGTCGTTATTGTCAAATTTTAGTGTGTCTTCAATTTTATCCGATGCAACATGGCCATCCACCAAGTACGAATAGTTGCATGAAGGCGTTGTTACGGTGAAAGACGGTGCGCCTTCAACTCTTGGCCGATGCGACATGCGGGCATCCGCAGAACACGATTAGTTGTAATAGTTGTAAGGTCTACACACCATGTAGTTGTAAGTTGAGCACATAGTTGTGCAATCTTACCATTGCTAAGCTGACACGTCGTTTCCATAAAGAATGACTAAATTATGAACGTATATATTTGCGCTAAAATGGATATGTGTGCATATGGTTGTGTGGAACATAGTTCCTTTCAGTATACATACGTCCAATTGAAAAAGTTGTAAAGTTTTGTCGATAATTCTCGTCTAAAATATTTATGATTTTTGTTGCAGGTGAAAATTTGGTTCCAAAATCATAGATACAAATGTAAAAGACAACAGAAAGAAAAACTAATGGCCGAACAAAATGCTCAAAACCAAGTAAGTGTAAGCAACGCCACTTATCAACTATGGAATAGTTACGGCATTGTCGTTTCAGATTAACTCTTAAGATTTCCGACCTGTTTGAGTACGAAGTACCACGCATCCGCGGGAGCCCGCCTCGACGTAGCCGACGTGGAAACGTAGGTACGTCCTCAAGATGACTTACGTAGGTATTTTTTCCTGTCATAGTTGCCGAAAAAAGAATCATTCATAATGAAAGACATGAAATTGGCGGTAATGTGAGCTCAAAAGTTATATACCCGGCTCCTTGAGTGCGTCAGTATTGTTACCTTCAAGCGTAAACTGATGACATAGAGAAAAAACAGAAGTTGTTTGCATTCCGAGCATCTTGGATGACGTATAGTTCGGTACAACGAGTTTATCATCGATTTTCGTGGAAATGGTGTAATTTATGGAAAAAAGTCACTCTATAAAAAGTGCTTGAAATTATATCATGAGTTGATTTAAACAAAAAAAATCGGACAATGTGGTCCGTTTTTCGTATTTCAAATCCCGGATTTTGCTGGCCAGTTTGTACCGACCTACGTCACAGGGTAAACAAACCTCAAGATGCAAACACCTTCTTTTTTTACTCTATGAGCTGATGACATGAATTCTCGCATAGTTTTTGTTAAAAAGTGACGTCATCCATGAAGCCATCGATGCGATGGATAAGTCAACAGATGGCTGCGTCGATGACCATAGGTAATTAAAGAGTGACAGCACCGAAAGTTGTACCGTTAACGCTATGAACGATCCTCTGATCATTGAAGTCTCACGCAACAAATATAACGTGCTCTTTCAAAATCAATGACCTCATCATCTTAAAGAGGTCATTTTCAGACTGATTACCATTCAATCAAAATGATGATAAAACTCTGATCCAGACTGCTGTGCATGGATCCACCATCAATCAAACATTCCCTTTCCTGCAAGTTTAAATAATATGAGAGTGTCACCCTTAGCCCGGTCCATTCCAATTTATAATCTTTGCTATTGATGAAAATGTAATCTTTATTCCCGTTTGTGACACTGTGGAGGCCTAAAATACGGGAACCAATCAGAGATGGATTCCTATTGTCAATACTCTCGGTATAAAGAGACCCTAGCTCCGCCACTGCTCAGCAGAGGATTTATAATCATTACGATTGGAGGTAACATACCGAGTTAATATATCTTGAAAGCGTCATGCCAGAGCTAATTCCTCTGATCCGTCATAATACGCGATAAGTTAAGCTGAAGTGGATCGCGCGAAATTCGTCGCTTTGACTTGCCCGGGGAACTAATCCAATCTCTGACGTCACCGGTGGCGCCCTCCCCACCCCCGCGGCGAAAGACAACACTAATCGGAGCGTCGAGTGTGTATCTAATGCAGGTATTGGATGTGGGAGCGAAAATTATGGCTCGGGAACAAAGGGATATTGAAATTCCAGATATGTTTCCGTAGAAAGCGACCGGTGGCGCATTCCGAGTTTTTGCGCGGGGTACAGCGCAAATCCTTTTACGACATTCCAACGCGGGGGCTCAAAGAGAAATTGAATTAGTTGGCCAACTTCGCATCCCCAATCCCGAGCCGCGCTCGCTCGAGAGTCGCCCACTCCGGGACGCGCACTTCTGAAAATGTACAATTTATGACCCCCAACGAGAGGTACTTAGTTACCGACCCCCGCGCTTTATGTTTATGCCCGAGGATTAAGCCCAACTTATCGGGGCAGGACAGCGAATGCCCGGTCCGGTCGGCGTCTGAATTCCCAAAGCAGAGTGCTTCGGTTGACAATATGGATTGCATTTTGCAAAAAGGAACCACTAGCATTGTAATGATGCTAAGATTGTGCAGGTTCATCTTTAGCATCCGTAGAAAAATTTTAAAAAAATACAAAATTAAATACCGCAACCATGGTACACATACCCATAAGGAGTGTGTGGGGTCCTTTAACTGCAAACTAGCTGCGAGGACTATCAAGCCAGCATCCAGGGCAGCACCAGACCTATCTTTACATTTACATTTATAACTTTTGATCACAATTTTCGGTGTAACTTCAGTCAATTTTAGAAACCTCATTTTTTCATGTACGGCTCTCTAACTGGAGAGTCTCTAACTGGGCGCTTTTTTGTGCCCCCTCCCCCATGAAAAGTTTCTAACTCCGCCCATCTGCCGTGATAGCGAAGAGAGCAGTAAGTGTCAACTTTTCGAAATCGAGTTTCCTTCAAAATTCGTCTGATCTCTTTCAGATGAAATCACTGAAATAGCTAAAACAGCAAAATTCATCTTAATCGTATCAAAAAGAGACATGTGAGAAATCCGTAAGTGCGCAAAAAATGGCGTTGTTTCAGGCAAGACAGCAGTAAGAACAATATTCCTCCAGGAAGCCAGCGAAAACAGTGCTTTCAAGTGAAGTGCCACCCTCTTCTGCCAATTTCTAACCTGAAAATATGTTTGTTGCGTGTCCAAAACGCCAACTCAAAAGCATGCAGAAGATAGCACTTACGACTGTCTTGCCTAACAATAACCTAGCATGAAAATACCTACCCTTTCTATGAAATTGAACTAAAATGAGCCGATTTTTAATCATCTAAACAATTTCTACGAGTCTTCTGGACGATTAGTGATAATTTAATGCTTCTGAGCCCGTTTTCTCAAAACTTCATTTTTGCACGGAGAAAAAAACTTCGTGCACGGGACTTGAAGTTGAGGTCCTATGGATCTCTGAAGTTTTCGGACCACGCATCCGAAAACTTGAGGTCCAGCTGCCAAAGTTCGGATCAGACATCGGAAGTACTTCGGTATGTACCGGAGGGTTCGGGTCGCATATCTGAGGTGCTCCAGTGCATATCTAAGTACTTAAGATGTCTGACCCGAACTTCGGCAGTTGGACCTCAAGTTCTCGGATGTGTGATCCGAAAACTTCGGAGATCCATATGACCTCAACTTCGGGCTCGATGCACTAAGGTTTTCTCTCCGTGTGCACTTACCGCTGTCTTTGCCATCACGGCAGCCATACTTGGGGTCTCCCCATACGGAGTTTGATATGACTTGTGTGGATTGTGTGTGATCTGACGGCATTGAGCATGTGCAATGTGCATCGTGCGCTTCCTGTTTCAGGCTCAAAGCTCTCCGCGGCGGGTGGCGGTGCCGGTGTTGGTCAAGGACGGGAAGCCCTGCTCGGGCCCCTCGGAGTCGGGCGGGGGCGGCGGCGGCGGGATGGGCGGGCGGCAGGGGGGCCAGTCGGGGCACTGCAACCCCCTGCCGCACCCCCACTCGCCCGGGCCCGGACTCCACCAGTCGTCGTCGGCCTCGCAGCATCAAGCGCAGCAGTCCTCGCTTCTCTCCAACATGAGCTACCAGCGGCAGAACCTCCAGCACCACCAGCACCAGCAGGCCAACATGTGTTCCTCCTACCTGCCGCTCCAGGCGCGCGCCTGGTAAAGTCTCCGCTCCCCCGCCGGGGCCCGAACCCCCCCCGCGGGGCCGCACCAGTTCCCACGGGTGATATAAACCTTTCATTGTGATATTATTTTTCATTTGCAATTCGCCTCGCCGCACGCAATCGGATTTCCAAACAGTCTCGTCCATCTTAGATTACCTCCATAGCCCGTATCATGCCGCAATCACACGCTGAATTTAGCAGCTGAATGTGGAAGTCAACAGTCATCGCCCGACGGCTGAAATTTAGCAAATTCGAGTTATTTTCATCCAGATGTGTATCAAATCTACTCGAATAGTTCAGACAAATTAAACATTAGTCCGAATTTTGCGCGTCACGCACAAAATTCAGGCATCGGGCAGATGACTTCCACATTCAAGCCACATTCAGCGTGTGATTGCGGTATCAGACGATAAAAGTAGCGGCTTCAAAGATGCCTCATCGATGGCTTTCCTGGGCCGCTCATTGGCCAGCGGTTTAAGTCGGGGCAATCGATGAGTCTCTTTGAAGCCTCTACTTTGATCGTCTGATACGGGCTTATCAGACTGCTGCACAGTGGATCGAGTCAATTAGAGAGGTCGGTCATGAAAATTTTGACTAAAACTGCTTTTGATGTTTATTTTGTCATATTTTTAATTTCAAGGGATGTTTGTAGTAGACAATTTCACGAAGAAACCAATAAGCCCACTTCTAGAACCTCAAAGTTGTGTATGAACGGAGTTATAAGCGTTTAAAGTTTCCAAATTTCGTCCAACCTATCCCATTGGCTCGATCCACTGTGTGCTGTCCTGAGGAAAAATACAGAATGATTCGAAATTCATGATTTATCGAAAGAGATTTGGTAACGCCTGAAGGCTCATACGGCGTTTTTCCTTAGCACGGCAGAGTAAGCCATCGAAACATCTCGTCCCGACATAATCTTACACTTAGATGGGACCGTTTTTGTCGGAAACGGCTGGACTTGCAGCTTGGTGCGAGTTTCCCTCTTGGTCGAAAAATAAAGAAGATAAAAAGAGTTCGTCTCATCGTTGCTACTCCTTGACGGAGCCGTTTCGATGGCTTACGGAAACCAATAGAACACTCTTAACTTCGAAATCACGTACCTCCATTTCGAGGGTATTGTTACCATGCTAAGGAAGAGCGCCGCGCCGCATGAACTTCTAGGACTTAGAATTGAAGGCGCTTGGATACAACTATTCGTACCCTAAGGATGTCCATGTTGCATAGTCAAACAATCGAAGGCGCGCCAGTTTTCTCAATGGAGATGCTGCACTATACTTGCTGCTTTCTCTATACTTGTTGGTGCTGCATAGACAAAAATTGAGGACTTTCCTCCGATAAAATACAAACTTGCTGGAATGAGTTGGAAATTCGATTGCGAGTGGATAGCTTGTTAGTCAATAGGGAGCTACGAAATTTGAATCGTATCTCTCTCATTTTTCTGTGTAAAATTGTAAGTAATTTTTGTTCGGTTTGCCTGGTGAATAAGTAATGTACGATCCCTGTAAAACATTGTATGAGCTGTTTAAATTGAAGAAGAGGGGTTTTAATGATTTGTTCGACGGGATGCACTGTTGAACTAATGTTTCAACGCATCTACTGACAGTGCTCAATATCTGTTCTGAGATGAGAATGCTCTTGAAAATTTGCTCCGTAGACAGAGTGTCAATTGCTTCTAAAGCAGTACTGCTCATGGTCTCATTTTGAGAGAAAGACTAAAGAAATTGATATCTCTTAACACTGAGCAGGGATTTTTTTTTCTATTTCAAATAATGTTTTTTTTAAATACCTATCCATTTTTTCTTATTTTCTCTTTAAATAAAGAAATATACATTAAAATGAAGGAATTACTGTCTGTAATAAATTCGCAAATTTTGAAAATAGAAAAAATGAAGGTTTCATCTATTTCTTTAGAAACCTCATTTGAAGTGGTATAGTAAAAAAAATCTTTCCTCAGTGATTCATAAAGGTGCGATTTTAATGATTGAGAAACTTAAACTTGTTTCTTTAAGTTTTGATTGCCTGCCTGTGATACGTTGTAAGATACCTTAGAGTTGTATTCAATTCTTGTAGTCGGAAAACCCCCCATTCTTTTCGATTAGTACCATTAATTAAGTATCTGAGCTAGGTATTGACTTCAAAAGTTAATCCATTAATTAATGACCAAATTACCTTGGTGAAGCATAGTATGAGCTCCGAATGAGTTTGAGACTATTATGGTCAGGATTAAATTCTGTTTACACAATGTCCCTTAAACTGTCTTTGTTTTTTTTGTCAGCTTGACTCCAATCATCCGTTTATAAGCGGAAACCAATGCATTTGTAACAGAAGATACACATGTAGCCGAAATATATGTGTAGCCAGCAGCGGATCCAGCAATTTGGCAACACCAGATTGCCTCCATTTAAACCCATGTTAAATAATCGATTCTTATCGGAGCACCAGGCCCCTCCAAGGATCGATATATTTCCATGGGTTTAAATGGACGAAAAACAATGTTGCCAATTTGCTGGATCCGCCAATGTGTGTATCTCAATCGCGGTGCCTCGATTTCTCCAGTCATGCGTATTATTTTTAATAGTAACAAACGGCATCCTAAATACCTGGAAATGATATGTAAGAGGTGAAGAATAATCGCACAACTTAGCAGAAAAAAAAACTTGAGTCTATTTTTTTTTTGCTTTTCTCTGACATACTACCAAAACTGCCGTGCTAAGGAAAAACGCCGCATGAGCCTTCAGCTGTTGCCCTGTTACCTTCAGTAAAATTCAACTGCACACGGAAAAAAATAGACTGGCTGGTTGTGTCGACTACCCTATTTTTTCCGTGCACCGGGCAAATTGTGCTTATTTTTATTTCAAATTTTTCAGACAATTTTGTTCGCAATTTCATTGAACATTTTTGGGAAAATTATGCAAAACTTTCCTCACAAATACATGTTTTATTTGAGGAAATTTGGCAACTCTCGAATGTTCATACAGCGTTCTTCCTTAGCACGGCAGAATAGTGTCTTTTCATCAAGCACCAGCGGACTTATTGTTAGTCTTGCCATGATACAACTCTGTTAATCGACTATTCTCTCTCGAATCTAAATTAATGCATGATGGACTCCCACAGCCGCAGAGGCTCCTCCCCTCCCCCTCTCCTCATCCCCCTTCGAGCGGAAACGAACTGCAACAAAAAAAGAAAATATTTGATCGAGGAATTGTTGGCTCCTATCCGGGCTCATACCGCAATAGGGGTACGGGGACTTCTTAATAAGTCCTGCCAAAAGAACCAGAGATGAAGCTAGGGGTGGCGCTGAATGCTTCACAGCCAAACCACTTCAACGCACTACCGTTACCACCCGCCCCTTGTTTGCACGGCAGCCAAATCTCCCGTGAAATTGAATTCAAAGTAAACTATATCCTCGGTAAAAAATCTTGGAGAAAGATCCGGAGTGAATTTCACTCTGAGGCTATTTTGTTCCAAAAAAACCGAAGCGTGAAGAAGAATTAATTTTTGCGGGATTTAGCTCCTTGTTCATAACTCTTTGGTTTTTCGGGGGCACTCTAAACGCTATTACAAGAATACTCCGCTATATCGAACTGGATCCAAACGATGATAATGACATGACATCTTTTGATGCTGACATGGAGAATAAATCGGTGCATATCGACGGTGTAAGTCGGAAATCACATAACTCGATTTACGACGCCGACGTCGCAGACTTCCTGTCGTACTTTACTTTTTAAACGGAAAACTACGCAATGGAAATTCTTTAAAACTGACTTGATTTTTCTTCTCCGTGCAAAAAAAATTCTGCAAAAACTTCCAGGAATGATTTCAATTTGTTCTCCTTTAAAAAAAATAACATAGAGCCGGAAATTTTCAGACACCCCAGATACGTGATTTCGCGGACTTACACGGCCGATATTGCTTTTCTTTTCGCTTCATGAAAGCTTTTTCCCGTCGACGATAATACACTTTTTATACACAATCCGATTTACCTCAGAGGAAATATTCGGCTGATTTGGCAGCCGTGCTTGCATGGGTTGGCTCTCTATACTTCTCGAGTCGTTGCGATTATTATTAGACACGCCAATCGAACCCCCTGAATGGGGATGGTCCCGGGGAGGTATTACACCCCGTCGTTATTATGTTAGGCGATTTACCCTTCAATTAGAGGTTGACCGGGTCCTCGCTCCATCTCGCCTGCGCGCGTGCCACGCATCAACCCCTATCGCAGCTCTAATGCTCTAATGAGCCTCACAATCGTTTCAATCTTTTACTTATCCTTCCTTTCTCCTTGTCTGCAAAAAAAAGAGAGTTCACGACGAATTCCTCGGGCGACGATAGACAATTTCACTCACAAGGAAAAACTTTACTGAAAAAAACAAATTCTCGAGTAGATAACTAATGCCACACCAAGTGTGTGTATGTGGCATATATCGAAAAAAGAAGGCCAAATAGTAACTCAGTAACCTCCTCCCCCCTCTAGTGTCAATTCTGCCTACTGTACAATTTCAGATAGCAACACCACTCCCCGCATCACAGATGCAGTTTATACGAAAGGCAAGCTATTACACAAATTCGGGATTAGATAACTATTGCTGCACCGAGAATGTTGGTGTAGCCTACGTTGAAAATTGAAGGCGAAATAAACATGTGCGCAACGACCATTCTCCTGCCGTGGAAATTTCGCTTCCTGTACATTTGCAGAAGAACCATTGCCCCTCAGTTCTGTAAAAGAAAACCATGACGTGTTCAGATAAATATTTATATTTCGCGGTTTTACGATTCGAATCAGGGAAGCATAAACAAAACAGGAGGTGTATAAAAACATGGAAATATTCAGTGACATCGGACTGAAAGCTGTCGGACCATCGAGAAGACTTATCACGACAAATGCAATGCTTTGCCGTCGAACTGCCAAAATAACGCCAACTGTGATAACGGTGGGGAGAAATACAATTATCCGGGCACAATATACTGTTGTTAACGACAAATTGTCATCAAGCAGACAGATTCCCCTGAGTGATGGACAAAACACCTTTAAAATCATTGTTGTCAAACTGTGCAATTGCGCTGAAATTTCGACGCCATTCAAAATTGATTGATTCACTAGACAGAATGAAAAAAAGCACCTCAACGTATGCTAAAATATCAATCAAAACTTGGCAGACGCTTCGGAGAGTTCAAAACATCTCTTTAGAAAAACATTATAATCCACTTAACCTACATAAAACTAGGTCTGAGCCTACATCG